TTCCAGTGAATTTCCCTCCCCCTTTTGCGCTCTCACTGCTCTCTCCTCTAGCCCACTCCAAAATAGAGGCAAAGATTTTAAAGAATCTCTGGCTTGAGTGTGAGACACAATGTATTCAGATGCATGCTTGCCAGTGCGTTTCTCAGCTCTCAAGGAATGGTTAAGACTAGGGCTGTGAGAAAGGAGAGGGAGGGAAAGGGATGGGGTATCTGGGTGGGGGTGGGTGAGAAGGACCCACTGCCTCCAGGACAAGCGGTTAGAACGAAATGACTTCAGAGATGAACTGCCCTCAGGTATCCATCCCTCACAAGCAACTGTAATACTTAGGTTAATGCTGGCTGCTGTTACAAATCAACCACAAAATTTTAATGAACACATTATCCAATACTGTAGCCCATAGCCACACATGGCTATTTAAATTTTTTAAAAAATATATCTGTATTGATTTCGGAGAGAGGAAGGAAGAGGGAGAGAAACATCCATGATGAGTCACTGATCGGCTGCCTCCTGCACGCCCCCACTGGGGATAGGGGATCGAGCTGCAGCCCAGGTGTGTGCCCTGACCTGAATCAAACCAGCAACCTTTCCCAAAAGAGTTGGGAAAGTGTGAAAGTTTGGGAGGCGATGTTACCCTTTTTGGCATTCCAACTGGGCAGGCACAGGTATCTGGTATCTGTAGCCATTTCCCTGAGAAGGGGGCAGGGTGGGGGTGGGAGTGTCAGGATTCAGGGTCCAGGGGAAGCTCACACAACAGGAAAGCATCCCCTCTCCTTGGAGTCTTTCTTCTGATCCTTCCTGCTCCCACCGCAACAGGCAGCAGATACAGGCACATAAATGAGGGGTTTGCCAGCAGCCCAGCTGGGTGACACAGTGAACTTGGGATATGGAACCACAAAGGACTTTCAATGCTCATGGCAGGCAGGCCCATGGGGATGCTGCCCGGGGGAGGGGTCCCCAGAGGCCCAGCGACCCCTCCCTTCCACTCGCAGTGCAGAACTACGAGGCAGGAGTGGCTGGCACACTGGCTCCCCTGGCCTGCACAAGCCCTCCTGCCCTCGCGGGCTCCTGGCGCAGCGTGGAGTCGGGTGGAGCTGCTGCAGGTGCCCACAACCGCGCGTGATTCCCTGCGGGGAGTGGGGAGGCGAGCAGGAGGAGTAGCATCCCTGTGGGAGTAACTTTCCTCTCTCCCTGCCCTGCCCCGCCTGGGGACCTTCTCAAGTTATCTTCCCGGTAGACACTTATTCTGCACTTTGCTTGGTCCAGCTTCTCAGTGCGGTTTCTATTGGCAAAGAGTCCAAAGCAGCCACTAGAGGGGAGTGTAAACCCTCTTTTTAATTCTAAATAAGGTGAGTAAGGAGGACAGCTCCCAGGGAACTCATTATTTCCCCGCCCCGCAGAAGGGAAAACAAAGCAGAAAACATTTGAGAAATTAATGCAAATCATAGTTTCATGTTTTACATGAATTTCCACGTAGATGTGAATCAAAAGGAATCGTTCAGGAAATCAAATTAAGTAAATCTCCCAAAGCAGGACGTTCTGTGTCCACTCATTACTGTGGAGTCTAAGTTAATAAATTCCTCTAATAATGTGTTCTCTAAAGCCCTGGCGATCTAGAAACATTACAATGTAATACCATTTGTTCTCTGCAGTTCACAAGGGGAAGACCAACGTGCAGATTTCTCTCCCTCCCTTGGCCTTTGGCAGTCTCTTTTATTACATTTGTCACATGGTTTGAGAACTAAATTTAAAAGTGAAATGAAAATTCAATAGCTGTCTCAGCTTAGTTCTTGACAATTAGCTCTGTTCTGACTCTACCTTCGCAGGGAAAGCAGAATCACTTTACAGTCCTGGAGGGTTTAGTTTCTACAAACAGGTGCCCCCTAGCGGCGGCACCGAAACCTGGAAGTTGTCATAACTGCACCTTTCCCCAGGCAAAATTGGGGTTTATTTGTACTCACCTGTTTCATGAGTGTGCATTTCATTGGGGCAGGCAGCCGAACCTGCGTTTTCTGGTTGCAGTTCCATAAACTGGGAGCAAACCTAGCCCTGGAGTCATCCCAGCCCAGATGCCAAATAGTGACTAAAGCAGCCTCCAGAAAATTCAACCCACTTGGATCTTCCCAAATGTAGCAAAGACAAAGCACCCCCACTATTTACTTAATTTATATGTTCAGTCACTATACCATGCCGGACAGTGAAGTAGATTCATCTTTCAGTTACCCTCCATTCCAATTTCTTGCCTTTGCCAACTCCACAGTCATCATGCCTCAGTTTCCCCACTCTGTCTCCCACCCTGCTAGATGAGTAGGGCATTTTGGACTCAGTTGGACTCAGGTCTGCAAGTGCATTAAAGGCCACAGCAGAGTGGCCCAAGCCCAGGGTTCCACTCAACCAATGAAAGACAATTTCGGAAACAGCAAATAAGTCTTCCATCCCCTCCTCTGCACCCACACTCCCCCCGTTCCCAGGAGCCCAGCCAGTCCATGGCATAAGCCCTGCTTTGGGACTTCCCTCAAGCACTCAAAGGCCCACACCCAACTTCTGCCTCCTCTGGCTCGCTTCCCCTCCCACGCGCGCTCTCTGATGTCCGGGGCCACTTAACATCCACACCGTGCAATTTAGTTTTTGATTACACAGTCAAGTGCCCCGACAATCATATCACAGGTGCGAGTCTCGCCTTCACCATGAGAAGCCCCTGGAAAGGCACTTCTCGTTGACAGCAGCCTCCGGCGCTGGGCTTCGCTCAGAGCAGGTGCTCTGTAGACAAACATTTGCCTTTGGAGCAAGTCTTGCCTGCGAGGGTGGTGAGCAGATCAGCCAGCCCACCACAGGCCAGGCTCTGGGCTGAGGCTCGGCCTGCGGCTGCCCTGAGGTGTCCTGCAGGGCAGCGATGTCAACAGTGCGTTCCATAGAAATGCCCAAGGCCTGTCCGCACGGCCCCCCTGGCCTCTCCTAGCCCTTGCAAATTCAGTTTCTTTGGGACTCCCTCCTCCCTCAACCTCTCCACAGTACCCCTCCTTAAATTTAATTTGAGGCACTCGGGAAAAGGGTATTTTTGTCTCACCATCGCTGCTGCAGAGCCCGGTATCTGGCCTTTAAAATGGCAGGTTGGATGAATGAATTGCTGGACTAACAGGAGGGTGAGTAGGTCAGTGTGTGAATAAAAGAAGGAAGCTGGCATGCCCTGGAATGCACCCTCCGGAGGGCAGAGATTCCTACTTGTTGAAGACCCCAGTGGGATTCCATTGACTCAACAGGGTGAAATTTTTTCAGAATCATTTTCAAAACTCTATAACTTAGAAACTAGAATATTTATGAACATATAATCAAAATATGGCAAGACACTTATAAGGGTAATTCTAGAATTTGGTACGCACAAACATACTCATTTATACCTGGTTGCTAGGTAATACATTTTCTGAAATGTTCAATGTTTATATTCGCCACCTATATTAGAGGTCCATTACTTCCCTGGAATGAAAGCAAAGTATGTCTGCCATCACTATCAATATTCTTTAACCTTGAACTTGAAGGGAGCTTTTAAAGAAAAAAGGCTAGGAGAGCTGTAAGATCCCGGGCGGAGTTTCTCAGCTTCAGCGGGATGATGGAATGACCCAGGGAGGCCTTTAAAAGTCTTAATGCCCAGGGTGCACTTCAAATCTATTACATCAGAATTTCTGGAGATGGGACTCAGGCATCGGCATTTTTTTTTTTAAACTTTTTTTTTTTTTTCTTTTTTTCTTTTATGGTTTGGCACCCATAGTTTTAAACTCCCCAAGTGATTTTCCTGTGCAGCCAAGGCTAAACCGTGACTTTAACCCACATGCGGCTGAAACTAATGAAAAGACCTACTGTGCAAACGTCAGGGTATTATGTTCCCTGTAAGTCAGGTCTGAAACCAGCCGGTGTCCTCACCCCGATCCCCAGCCTCACCCCCCATGCTCTCCTTCCTCTATACTTGTTTCTGTCTTGGTGGTCAAGAGTGGCTCATGGGCCCAGCCGGGTGTGGCTCAGCAGCTGAGGGTCGACCTGGGATCCAGGCGATCGGGGTTCGATTCCCGGTCAGGGCACATGCCCGGGTTGCAGGCTCGATCCCCAGTCGGGGGCGTGCAGGACGCAGCCGATCAATGACTCTCTCATCATTGATGTTTCTTTCTCTCTCTCCCTCTCCTTTCCTCTCTCTGAAATCAATAAAAGATATATTTTAAAAAGAAATTTAGCTTTAAAAAAGTGGCTCATGGGCCTTGTCCATGAGGATCCAAGTTCAGGTGAACTATTCTATCATTTTGTGAAAGCTGGACTTTCCACTCATGGACTTCGAAGTGAACTTCTGTGCCTAAAAGGGAGTTTCGGGAATTGAGAAAAGCAGAGAGTTGAAATAAATCCCAAGGAGGTTGCAGAGCACTCTGAACCAGAGTTGGCCATTCCCCCAAATCATGGGCAAGTTGAGAAATGACAAGCTAGCTTATGGCCACCCCACCCTCGGTCAGTCAACGTGCTCCCCCAATACTTCTGTACTCGGATCGTTGCCCAGGAAAATCCCGACCACGGTCTGCTCGGGGACTCACTTTCTCTGCAGTGCTCCCTACTGCAGCAGCTTGGAAACGGCCCTTGCCTTTAACCCTAGTCTGTTTCTGCTTTGACAGTTTGGTTTCTGGGCGTGGTCATTTCATGGAACCATTTGGAAAAACAGTGCCTGGGGATGCCCACCCAAAGGATACCTTTTCCTGGAATTTGGCAGCCGTTGGGCGTAAAGGACCCAGGAGGGCAGGTCTCCCTGTCTTCCATTCCCACCCATTAATTCCTCCAACGCCCTCTACCCAGGCAGGGCTCCTACAGTGGGTTGAACCAAAACACGTGCACACAGCGCCAGTGGGTTGCAGTTATGTATTCAGTTTCCTACATACGGGAGTCACGGGCCTAGGAAAGGGGAGAGAAACACTGGAAGAGCTGCCTGGCTGGAGTAACTACTTAAAAGCTAAATCATGGCTTCCTACACTTTACAAAATCATCTTCCTACAGGAAAACCGGCTGCCGCAGGGATAGCAGGGGTTGCAAGGGTCACACGGGTTGCAGGGGTTGCAGGGGTTGCAGGGGCTGCAGGGGCTGCAGGGGTTGCAGGGGCTGCAGGGGTTGCAGGGGGAAGCGCAGGGGTAGCAGGGAGACTCGATCTTGACGCAGCTGCCGAGCCCGTAGGAGTAGGTCACGTCCTTCTCGTCCACACAGGGGGGCAGGCTGAACTCCTTGCAGATGTTCATGTAGCTGTACTTCTTGGACCCGAGGCAGTCATACCTGTTCTCCCGCTCGGCCGACACACACACCTTTCCGTCCTTGACCCGCACTTTTACTTGATCGGGCTCGAAGCCGCACACGTTCACCGATCCTAAAATGTTACTGCTACAGCAAGAGGAGGCCAGGATCCTGTTTGTTGTTCTTCTCAGTCTGAAATTTAGAAAGTGGAAAGGGCGGGACGAGAAGCTCAGGCCTCAGGTCTCAGGCACAGCTTGAGAAGCAATATTTTGATCTCTGGTTTTTTTTTAAGAGCCAACGTAAACACTAGTCATTGTGAAAATCAAACTTTACAGAAGCGTATAAAGCAAAAAATGACAGGCCTCCCCCGGGTAAACCTCTATGAACAACATATAGGTGTGTGGCTTTCCAGATCTTTCTCTTGTATTTAAATCCCAGCTCCTCCTCTGATTAGTTAAGGCCAGTTGGCAGGCTCCTTAACCTCTCTGTGCCTCAGTTTCCTCATCTGTAAAACGAAAATTATAACAGTACCTACATCATAATATTGGAGGGTTCGATGAAATGATGTATTTGCTTAAAATTGTGCTTGGCACATTATAAACCCTGGTTAATTATTACCATGATCATTGTCATTACTACTATTATGTTTTTAAAGGGGATCCAACTAATAAGATACCATTTAAAATTTGCATTAATGATGGCTGTTAGCCTTAGAATTCAGCCCTGCTTGTCCACAGAACTGGTGCCACCACTGGGCCATCACACAGACTCAGTCTGAACACTCCATCAACAAATGACAAGGCAGGACGCTAGGGCCTGGCTCCGTCTCCTCCTGTTTGAGGCTGCTCCAGACTCTGGCTGGCTGGCCCCAGCAGAGAAATCAGCTTGGAGGGATGTGTGGTGGGTCCTACCAGCTTGCAAGGGTTGACTATGCACGTCCCTTCCCACCTGCTCATCCAGTGACTTCATGTTGATAGCCTGAAATATATCATGGTGAGAATATTTACACCATGGGAATTGGTAAACACTACACATCAAGGTTTTTCTCCCCCCCTCCACCAAGCTGATTGGTAAATACCACTGTTTGTGGCCCCTAGAGCTGCCTTGTCGCTGCTCAGCAGTCCTGTGTATAAATCCTTAATAATAAAACAACAACAACAACAGCTCACACTGATAGATCACTTGTGATACATCAAGAGGTAGTAAAGTGAAATGCTTAAGAGACTAGGTTCAAATCTCGGTTCTGCCATGTGGACAAGTTACTGAATCTCTTTGCCTCAGTTTCCTCATCTACAAATTTGGGGCCTACTTCTAGGGTTGTTGTGAGGCTTAAGTTAATGAATAAAAAGTACTGTACATTATGCTTGGCACTTGATTAAGATGCTGGGTTTTGTCCCCGTCCCCCGTCCCCCCCCCGTACACACAATGTACCAGGGAAAGGGCTAAGCTGGTAAAGACATTGTTTCGTCTAATCTCCACAATAACCCTTGGATGCAGATGTAATTATCACTGTTTTACAGATGAGAAGGTACAGGTGGCGAATGGCAGAGTCTGGATTCAAATTCAGGCCTGTTAATGGCAAGGTTATGATTTCAACCCTCAGTCAGACTGAGCTGTCAGTCACTGCAGCCTGGTGTGAGTCCTGTGTGCTCTAGCCTGCCTTGGGGTCCACTTTCTAACTGCCAGATCCTTCTAAACACAACTTAATGCTCTGAAATGGTCCTTTTATTCCTTAACATAAGAAAAAAAAAAATCTGTGTTCTGAGAGATACTCCTGGCAAATCTTGCATCTCTCTGTGTCCAAAGGAAGGCTTTGGAGTGTGATTTCTAGAACTTCTTCCAGTTTGAGGAGCCTGGACTCATTGATTAGGTTATTGGCTTGGGATACATTTTTAATTCTTACTTTTTATGCTGAATTTTGTTTATACACTTGCATAAGTTATACAAGTTCATTGTAGAAAAATCAGAAAATACAGATAAGCAAAAAGATGGTATATTTCAAAAAATACCCATAATCCTAAATAACATTTAACGTTTTGGGGTTCGACTTTATTCTGTGTGTGTATGTGTATATATTTCTGCATACACATATAGAGAGTTTTGTGTGTGTGTTTATGAAATCACTCTATACATATTGCTTTGAATCTGTATTTTTACTTGGTAGCCCTAACACGATTTAACAACGTGAGCCCTTGTGCTGACAGTTACAAACCAGGGCTCTTAGTGGCTAATTCCAAAGTGGTCAAATAGAATGCTGTCTAGAAGGTGCTGAGGCCAAGAGAACATGTATGCAAGGCACCCAGAGGACTGTGACAGTCATTCGGCTCCATTTCCACCCCTGGGGGAGGGATGGGGCCCAGACGTCTTTCATGCCGTGGGTGTGCCAGGGTACCCACAGGCCATACTAAGAAGAAAGGAAGAGAACTGGGCTTTCTTGAAAATCTGTATGCATCCCTGTGAGAACAGGGGAAAAAGCACTCTGTCTCCCTGGATGGCAGATGAGAGCACACAAAGGCGCACCAGGCCCTCTGTGGATGGAGCACAGGGGTGAGGCCCCAACAGCCAAAGCCAAGAGGAGCACAGAGCGGACCAAGTGCCCCCGGATCTCTCACGAATCTCCCTTGGGGTGTGTGGGCTGAGCGTCAAGCTCTTCTGTTCAGCTCAGACCTTCCAGCTGGAGATGATAAACATCAAAGCCCACCATGAAGGCAGGGCTGGACCTCACAGAGAATGACCAGGGGCCCCAAATGGGGTTGCTGGACCTGGCTACTGCCACGACTGATTTCACCTAAGCCCCAGGCCGTCTGCAGGAGGTGGATCTGGGAGCCAGATCTACAAGCCACAGCCGACTCCCAGGTCCATCTCCTCCTCTTAGCGACCTGCATGCTGGGGTTCAATTTCATGTATTGTATTGCTTAGATTCCCCCTCTTCACTCTGGTCCCCTTTGCCCCTGCAGCAGCTGCACAAGTCTCTCTCCAATGTGGATCTTCAGGAAATTGCCTAAGAGTCTTGGCAAGGTCAGGTTTCTTCTTCCATTTGCTTCTAGGTCAGGGGCTATCGGAGAGGATGTGTGGGGTTAGGAGACGTGCCAGAGCCACATCTTATTCATCAGACTCAACTCGCAACTTGCAACTTGCAACTTGACTCCTGTCTGGCGATGGACCTGTCATCCCACCTGGGATTTTCCGCGGCTCTGCGGGGATTGCCTCCGGTATTATCATGAGGGTGGAGCTTGGCTACAACAAACATGGGGAGAGCGGCCCCTTTGGTTTGGTGCAGAAGCCTCATGGGAAGCTGGGGCAAAGGGAGGGGACAGCCGGTGCCTGTGTCTGCCACCTGTTCTCCCTCCTGAAGCTGACTTGCGCCTGAATGTGCGACCCAGCTCCTCCATGTGACACATCGCCTGCTGCAGCGATGAGCTATACAGCCAGGTGTCTTCACAAAGATAGAAGTGACGTCCAGCCAGGTGATGCGTAAAGCGATGAAAATGTCACAAAGGCCTGTCCCTACCCCAGAGCCAGGGGAAGCAGGCCTTTCGCGAGCGGTCCTTGAAGGACTCGGCTCTTTCTCCTACGTAGACCCTTCCAAGGCCTGTTAAACTAGGTTCCTCTTTTCCAGCACGATTTCCCTTCTTTTCCTGCCTTGTCTCTCTTCTCCAGATTCTGGGTGATACTGAAGGACAGTGTCGCCCGCAGGAGCAGAGCAGCACACTGCAGGTGCATCTGAGTCCCCAAGAGAGCTTGTTGAGACAGGTGGCGGGGTCCCACCCCGCAGCTTCTGACCCAAGGGTCTGCCAGAGGAGCTGAGAATTTGCATTTCTAACAAGTGCTGCTGGTCCCCAGACCCCTCCTGGAGAACCACTGGCCAGACCAGGCAAGCCTGGCCTCAGGTCCCTGGCCTCCCAGCCCCTGGTGATCGAGGGCACGGCTGCGAAGACTCTCGTTGTCTATAAGGTGGCCAAGCTGGCACAAGGATGAAAGGAAGCGGAAGTTGGAGGGACACAGTTTCCACTCAGTAGAGGGAAAGGCTATCAGGCTGTACCAGGCTCTGCCTCACGCAGGCTTTCCCAAAACCCGAGGCTGTGAGTGACTAAGCCCAAGTCCTGTATCATTAAACAAGGTCAAACCAAGTAGCAGACGTGCACTTGGCCTAGACGGGCCCCAGCTCATACCCCTGCCACCCTGGGGTGACTCGGCTCTGAGACCTGTGTGTGTGAAGAGACTGTGATGAGAGGGGACCGAGAGGCCCGACTGACTTCCACAGAGGGAAGGAGAAGAGCTCTGCTCTCAGTGGGACAGCCGGCCTGCCACCAGCCACAAAGCCTCCAGGGTTCTCCCCTAACTGGGCCATGATTCTGAGTCAGGGAATGGGGGGAATGGGGGGAACGGGACGAAAAGATTTCCCCGAGGGCTTAGGACTGGGCAGAACCCCAAAGAAGTCACCGGAGGGTCGAGCGTCATCAGCCACAAGAGTGAGTCAGTGGAAACCTCATTCTCAGATTGCAAAGGGGCAACCCAGGAAAGAAACAAGAAGGCAGATCCTTGAGGTTTCCAGAAGATGGGGTGCCCCTTGTGCGGGGATCTTCAAGGGAATTTTTTGCTGAGACGCAGGCCAGCCGCAGTGGTGAGTGGAGGGAAGCGCAGCCTCAGGGCCGGTTTCCAGGAGTGAGCAGAGGCTGCCGGGTGGGGGCCGCTGCCCCCGGGGGTGGCTGCAAGTGGAGGTTCCTCCCTCCCTAAAGCCAGCTGCAGGGGGCCCGAGCCTCGAGGGGGCTTCACCCCCACCCAACAAACCCCTACGGGCAGGGCCGAGTGGCCGCTGGCTGTGCCTCGGCTCTCCCACGTCAGCCCCNCTCAGGGCCGGTTTCCAGGAGTGAGCAGAGGCTGCCGGGTGGGGGCCGCTGCCCCCCCGGGGGTGGCAGCAAGTGGAGGTTCCTCCCTCCCTAAAGCCAGCTGCAGGGGGCCCGAGCCTCGAGGGGGCTTCACCCCCACCCAACAAACCCCTACGGGCAGGGCCGAGTGGCCGCTGGCTGTGCCTCGGCTCTCCCACGTCAGCCCCGGGACCGAGCGCCCAGGGAGTGTGGCGGTGGCTGAGGTGCGGGCCAGGTGGGCTGGTGGCACCGCCTCTTGCAGAGGAAGCCACATCCGGCTTCTTCAGTCCTCCTGCGTCGGGGAGAGGGAGGCAGAGTAGGGGAACGAGCGTGCGCCTGCTGGGCGAAGGTTCGTTTGGTGGGGAAAAGACCTCGCCAAAGGAGCTAAAGAAACAGAAGCACTCCCCGGGGTCCCTGCTAAGGGAGGTGCTGCCAGCCGGCTCCCCAGGCAGCTGCCCAGCCAACAGCGGGCACGGAGGGGGCCTTCTACGCCCAGCTGAAAAGCTACAGCACCCACGTGCGCACAGACGCGCAGGCACACACGTCAGTCACATACACATACACTCAGGGATGCTCAAGAAACTCTTGGGGGGATTCAGCTGTCNCATACACATACACTCAGGGATGCTCAAGAAACTCTTGGGGGGATTTAACTGTTGGCAAACTCTTCCTATCAGCTATTAAAGGAGCCCCCGGAAACAGCAGACTCGCTCCCACCCAGCAACACAGTTCCACGGGGCCGTGGCAACTACAGGCCCCGGAACCTTACTTTCTGGGTTGGCAAAGAACCTTCTGGCCAACAAAGCCTGGCATCTGGAAGGACATGTATCCCTAAGCAAACAGCTGGCATTCTCGAAAGGAGTGAGAGGTCATAGATATGATTTCTAAACTCAAAAAGCCTCAGGCAATGTCTCACACCCCAAATTGTTTTTAAAAGTGGCATCAGTGGGACCTTTCTGGATCTATTTAGTTATGGATTGGGAGTTAGCTGAGAGAAGAGGAGGCATTCCACTGAAAGAAAAAATATTAACAGAGAGAGTCCTCTGGGATTGGGCTAGATAAAGGTTTGACATTTTCATCCATAGTCAGGAAAATTGAATATTTAGGATGGCGAAATGTCAAGCTGTCAGAAGTAGAGCATAGGAGGGTTTCACAAGGTGGGATGAATGTTCTGGAAGGCAAGTGGCTGAGAGGAGACATCAGAGGGCAAGTCTGAGGTCACTTCTAAAATGGATCTATCAAGTTGAGAGAGCTGGGAATTAATGTAAAGACATCACCAGCTTCATGTACTGCCGCAGGCACAGAAAAAATTAGCAAAAATCCAGACATTGTCAGGGCAAGTGTCACAAACCATAGAAAGCATTACCTCAAGTATAAACCACTCGGCTGGGAATTAAGCCTGAAGTTGCGTCTACTGCACACCAAGAATTAGGGCCTCCTGGAGGAGGCGGGGGTGCCCCGGTGATAAAGAACAGAGGCATTCTCCCCTGGAGAGTCTGGAAGGTAGGGACAGCCAGGAGACAAAGGCTGAAGGGACTTGGATCAAAGGCCACCCAGCACTCAAAGGGAGAGGGAGAGTGGGCACAGATCTGCTCACCCTTCATTTAGACTATGTTACAAAAGCATCCCTGATTCAGTGTGAATAATTTTTGTAACATGATTCTCTAAGGAGTAAAAATAAAAAGTGGTTCACATTGAGTGTAGGTGAGTTAGTTTATAGGCAACAGCCCCATCCTACACTACTAAGAGAGGTTTGTTCCTGACCTTTGGTGACTGATGACATGAACAATAATTGCCTTGTTACCCTTTCCAGTGAAACATCACTGTCACTGTTGTCAAGGGTCTCACTCTCTCTCTGTCGCTCTCTGTCTCCCTATCTATCTGTCCATCTAATCGATTAATTTATCACCAGGATAGGACAATGCTGTTTAAAGATACAAATGAGTAGTAAGTAAATTCTAGAGATCTAATATTAACACAGTATAGTTAATGTAGACAATAATATTGTATTATAATCATCACACTTGCTAAGGGACTAGAACTTAATTATGCCAATCACTAAAAAGAAATGATAATTATGTAATGTGGTAGATGTGTTAATCATTACTACAACGGCAGTCATATTACAATATATAAAAGTATCAAGTTAACATGTCGTATACCTTAAATTTACACAATGTTATACATCAAATATAGTTCAACAAACATATCTGGCATCTATTTGTTCATATCTTTGAAAAACAGCATGTAAACTAGTTTTCCTGTACCTTGCTTTTTTTACTTACTACATCAATACATAAAATGCTTCATCAGTCCTATTCACAGCCACATTGTCATTCCAGCGTATGGGTGGACCAGAATTCATTCCACCGGGGACTGTGCTGCCAGCCATTCTTTTCATCAATAGTAACAGACTAAGTGGCGTTTGTGGAAAGTAAGAAAAGGAAAGCTTTCTCCAGGCCAGAAAAGAAAATGTAATCAAACAGAATTTTTTAAAATGACTTTTCAAATCACCCACCTCAATTAAAACCTTTCACTCTGTTCTGAACGCTGAGACCCTTAGTTCTGTGGTTTCTTAGCACCACCTTTACTGGAGTTGCAGGGAGAGGCCAAGATAATAGATCCAACTCCAGATGACTTTCAAGTCTTTGTCTGGAGTCGGGGGTGGGAGGAAGGTCCCCCCCTTATTCCTACAAAACCCGGAAAATGCCTCTATTGCTCCGTTTGCCCCCTGCTCTTACAGCCTCTGGCAAACAGGAAGGACTTGATCAATTATTATTACTTCTCCTGGCGTCATTTCTGTGAGTCCAAATATACTCAAATCACCTTATTCATAACCAGAAAAATGTGCAGTTCGCGGCTTCCAATCGCTTTCTCATGGCACCCCCCCGCTTCTGCCCCTCACTCCAGCCATATTATCTATCATGGCGGCACTCCTGCTGCCAGCCGGCAACAGCCCTGCCAACTGCCATCACTACGCTGTCTTTTGAGACTCTCATCGTTCCCGTCACAGACCCCTTTACTCTTCTTAAATCTTTGCTAAGCCACCGGAGCCGCTGTCTCGAACCCCCTTCATCTTCGTTCAAGCGCCGATTGTCCCGTCTCCGCGCCTCCCTTATTCCGGCGTACGAGGCTAAATGGACCAACTCTAAGAATCTTAAAAACTTCCCCGCGCCCGGCCGGGCGTGGCTCAGCCGGTGAGCGGCGCCCCAGGACCCAGGCG